AGCAGCAGCAGGGGGTGTTGAGTCTTTGGAGGTCATTGCTGGAAAAGACGCGAACATTGCAGAAAAAAACACCCACTGACCCGATGATTTTTTGCTTTATTATTTAAATGAGAGTTTTTATTTTAAGATACTATCAAAAACAAAAGTGAAATATGTGTATGTATATTTGACTCAGTATGAATGATCACAGGAATTATAGTTGATAGATGATTTTATACATGAGGTGGATGTGATATTCGGGTGATATTTGCATGTTTTCTGATTTACATATAGAAACTGTGAAGTATTTCCCCTTGTGGATTTCATGTGATATAATAAATAGCTTGTTGTGGCTGCAAACCATCTGTGTGTATGTGACAGCCCAGATACAAGATGGATTTTCTGACTTATCTGCTCTGTCTCTTTTACTTCTATATAGAATGTATGTGATTATTTTGTTGTTATTATTATTATTATTATTTTGTATGTGACCATGTTATAACTATAACTTACATGATTTTTTTCCGTTTCCCAAGCCTGCCACGGAGAGATTACAATGACTCAGACTCCGGAATATATCTCAGTGTCTCCAGGAGAGAATGTGGTGATACATTGTAAATCGAGTGCTACTGTTACTGGTGGCTCTGGTAGAAGTTATGTACACTGGTATCAGAAGAAACAAGATCAGCCCCTGACACCTATCTTATATCGGGCATTCAATCGTCAGTCTGGAGTCCCGGAGAGGTTCAGCGGCGGTAGATCGGGATCTCCATACAATGATTTCACTCTGACAATTAGTGGAGCTCTGGCAGAAGATGAAGCACATTATTACTGTCAGCAGGGTTGGGAAGCACCACACACAGTGATACAGAGCCGTACAAAAACCTCCTTCCTCTTTTATATTTTGCTGTGCAAATTAAAGTGGCATTAAAGTCAATCATTTTTTCCCCTCCCCCCAAAGTTAATGTCAGCACTTACCTTAAATCAGGGGTGCCCATAAGGTGATCGCGATCTACCAGTCGGTCTGGATCTGACAGCCAGCGCCTCTCTCTCCCCTCACTGCTCGGCCTTAGTTCTGTGAAAGCGGCTCGGCCCTCCGCCCCCCCGCGAGACTTCATCTCACTTCCTCTTCTGTTTACAGGGCTGGATGTAAAAAGAAATCTTGTCAATAACATACACGTCAACAACTAAAAAAAAAAACAGGGATTTTAACCATTCCTTACTCTATTCAAAGCAGGAAAAGTTTTAGCTTTAGATTTACTTTAAGCTGTGATGAAAACCCTCCTTAACCTCTAGAGGGACAGCCCAGAGGGCACCTGTACTCAGTACAGGTGACTTTCTGGCTAGGTGTCCATTTTCTGTGCCATACTCACCTTATTCACCTGCACACAAGTACGGTGTTTCCCTGAAAATAAGACACTGTCTTATATTTTTTTTTCTCAAAAAAGCACACTAGGTCTTCGGGGTAGGTCATATATATACAGGTGAAACTCGAATAATTAGAATATCGTGCAAAGTTCATTTATTTCACTAATGCAACTTAAAAGGTGAAACTAATATATGAGATAGACTCATTACATGCAAAGCAAGATAATTCAAGCCGTGATTTGTCATAATTGTGATGATTATGGCTTACAGCTCATGAAAACCCCAAGAACCCCAAATCCACAACCTCAATTATATATATATATATATATTTTTTAATGTACAACATTTTTTTTAAATGTACCAAACTGCTGAAAGATGAGTGCAAAAAGAAAGCTAGCTTTCTTTTTGCACTCATTTTTCAGCAGTTTGGTAACAGACCTGTGAATGAGTGCTTTCACTACAGTATGATTCCTTACAGGCGGAATGCATTTGGAATCACTCCGCCTGTGACGGGAGCCGGCGCTATGGAGGAAGCATCGGCCTATGCGGCTCTGCTCCCTCTGCTGCTGCCTCGCTTCCTCCGGGTTATGCTGGCTCAGCTGAATCTCTCCCACTTCTCCTGCTGCTCCTCAAGTTCCCCCTGATGTCACCACCGGCCACAACTAGGTCTTATTTTCGGGGAAACACGGTATATAGAACCACTGGAGGCACAGAATCATGCAACTGCTCTTTGCTTACGACTGTAACCTAAATAATGATATTGGAGATAACTTCTTGTTCAGAAGATCAGGCACATGAATTAATGTGGTAAAACAGTAAAAAAAAGTTGCAACGTCATCTCCTCATGAGTCGTTGGAAGTCATTAGTTGGTGTTTAGTTTTTAAAAAACAAGAGTTACCTTCAATAAAAAGTACACAATTTATTCTAAAACTTGTCCCATTTGTTATGATGCTAAAATAAATTTTTTGGCACAAAGCATGGCAGAGTTATTTATTAATGAACTAAAAGTATGTTTTGTAAAAAGTGGGTATTTTTTTATTTTGATGCAAAAACAAAGGAGGGGGAAAAACTTAAATTAAGCTTTACATATGAAAGGTTAAAAATAAATAAATAAATAAAACCCCTAAAAATGTTATGAGAATCAAACAACTTTAAGGTTCACACATTTTTCAACTAGAGTTTAATTGTAAAAATGTGTGAATCCTGTTTGAAAGTTGTGTAATTCATGTGTGAAATCATTTATAAATAGACCCTCTAAGTGGACAAGTAGAGGAAGGAGTTTGATTTAGAGAGTTAGAGGTGAGGGTTATAGCGGTTGAGTTGAAGTTAAAAGTGTGCACCTTTTCTATTATTATATTTGTAGGTACATTATATTGGGAGTGTCTCTATTATTAGCAGGTGAATCTAAAATCATTTCTAAATTTACTCATTGGTATCAGGAACAGAGATCAATGCTGGCCAATGCAAATGTTCATTTTGGGTTTAAAAACCTTCTTTGCCATTGCAAATTGCCCATGGGAATAAGATTGAGCATGTTAGGTCTTTCATAGAAGTCAATGGACAAATCATTGCAAATGTTATTGCCACCTAAAAATTGAGTGCTCAAATTGTTTTCACCATATTTCTACCCTCGAAACATCCCTGGTATTCGATATTTGAGCAGTGTGTGGCCCTGCTGGCCACGCTTCGTTTGATGAAAGTAGATTTTGCAAACAGCTTTTGTCGAAGGAGTCGGCCTGAAAATTGACTGCAGCCAATCATCGAATCAAACATTTCTTCTCATTCAACCCCATGGCAATTTACAATTTGTGAACTTTGCGGCACATTCAATGAACACCCGCAAATCGAACCTGGGCAGATTCACCCAAAACGTTTTGTAAATATACAAAACATAAAAAACGGGCCCAAACTCCTGAACTTATCCCAGTTTGTCCAACATCCCCAGCCTGCAATTTGCTTTTATTACCTTGTGATCTGTGGGAGTCAACAGGGTTGCTCTGTGATCGTTGCATGGAATCCATGTTTGGGATATACCTTGCTCCCTCGACTGATCTTTTTTTTAATACCCCCAAACATCAAAATTATTTTCAGTAGTGATCATGAAATTCAAAGTCATGCACCCTGGAGGTGGGTCCAGAACTAGTTGCTGGTGGGCAAACAACAGTATATGTAAGTGTGGTTGCAACCTTATGTCGAGTACTGAACTTAGCATATCAATCTACCCCACAGACATAAACTCAGAAACATTATTTCTGGTATACTTATCAACATTTTAAAATAGTTTTAAGTTTAGGGTATCAAGAAATTTTGCACACCACCAGGCATGGCCAAAAAAGTCAGTGACAGTAGGGCCCATCCATAATCCCCTTTATAATGGACATTGATCTCCCCAGACTGGTGGTCAGTGGCTGGCTGTAACAATAACCCCCCCAGCTTTGGTGGTCACGGGGCTGGCTGTAACAATAACGCCCTGAGCTTTAAGGTTATGGGGCTGGCTGCAACAATAACCCCCCCAGCTTTGGTGGTCATGGGGCTAGCTGTAAAAATAACCCCTTCAGCTTTGGTGGTCATGGGGCTGGCTGTAACAATAACCACCCCCTAATAATATGGTCCGTGGCTAGCTGGTACAATAACCCTCCAGCATTGGTGGTCTGAGGCTGCCTGGAACAATAACACCCCCAGACTTGTGGTTAGTGGCTGGCTGAAACAATAACCCCCTGAGCATTGGTGGCTGACGAAAGGAATAACTTCCCCCTTCCCCAGCATTGGTGGACAGTGGCTGTCCAGAACAATAACCACCACTGTTCTGGTGGTCAGTGACTGGCTAGAGCAAAAACCTCTCCAGTATTGGTGGTCAGTGGCTGGCTGAAGAAATACTGCTAGCATTGATTGTCAGTGGTTGGCTGGAACATAACCGCCCCCCCCCCCAAACTGGTGGACAGTGACTGGCACAATAACCTACCCAGCATTGATGGTCAGTGGCAGTCTGTAAAAATAAGCCCCCAGCCCAAGTGTTAGTGCTGCCCACAGAGTGTGTCCTTGACATCCCGACCCCACAAAAAGTGGGTTAAATGTTGCTGGGCATTGTTCAACCACAAAGACCAGTGGCAGCAGCTGGACGGAGTGTTGAGTCTTTGGGGGTCAGCGTAGAAGAGGATGTGAATATTACAGCAAAAACTGCTTTTTATGTTTTAAAATGTTCCGTCCAATTTATTTATTTATTTATTTTTAAAGGGGAGTTTAGTTTCAATATTCTATCAAAAACAAACATTTGCCTCAGTATGAATGATCACAGGAATTATAGTTGAGACACTTATGATGATTTTATACATGAGGTGGATGTGATATTCGGGTGATATTTGCATGTTTTCTGATTTACATATAGAAACTGTGAAGTATTTCCCCTTGTGGATTTCATGTGATATAATAAATAGCTTGTTGTGGCTGCAAACCATCTGTGTGTATGTGACAGCCCAGATACAAGATGGATTTTCTGACTTATCTGCTCTGTCTCTTTTACTTCTATATAGAATGTATGTGATTATTTTGTTGTTGTTATTATTATTATTATTATTATTTTGTATGTGACCATGTTATAACTATAACTTACATGATTTTTTTCCGTTTCCCAAGCCTGCCACGGAGAGATTACAATGACTCAGACTCCGGAATATATCTCAGTGTCTCCAGGAGAGAATGTGGTGATACATTGTAAATCGAGTGCTACTGTTACTGGTGGCTCTGGTACAAGTTATGTACACTGGTATCAGAAGAAACAAGATCATCCCCCAACACTTCTCATCTATGAGGCAATCAATCGTCAGTCTGGAGTCCCGGAGAGGTTCAGCGGCAGTAGATCGGGATCTCCATACAATGATTTCACTCTGACAATCAGTGGAGCTCTGGCAGAAGATGAAGCACATTATTACTGTCAGCAGGGTTGGGAAGCACCACACACAGTGATACAGAGCCGTACAAAAACCTCCTTCCTCTTTTATATTTTGCTGTGCAAATTAATTTCCCTTTTATATCACATTCAGAAAACAGTGTACTGAGATGATCCCATGTAAAGGTGCTGATTTACTCTGCTGTATTTAAGTAGGATTAATTGCTCAAAGTCTTATTCACATAACAGAGATATAAATGGCACTTTATCTGTCGTGACAACTGACAAGATATGATGCCTTACACACAACTTTCATATTTTGTATTATACAGAGATCCTTTCCCTGTGTTCCCCCCCCATTGCATTGTACATATAAACAATGTATCTTGATAACTGGTCATCTGCATGTGTGATAACCCAAAAGCATCCGGAAGGCTCTTCTGGCTCAACTGCTCTATGGGCTCAATTCACAAAGCTAACACACTATGATAAGAATCTTTATTATCTAAGGTCAAGGCATTGTTTTGGAGGTGAGGGGTTAAATCCCTTGTCAGGTCCACTGGTTTGATATACTGGTGACCACTGTCTCTGGGACCAAGGGTCACCGCACACGTTACAATCTGACCATACAATTTTTGTACAATCAATTTTAGATTTACCAAATCTATATAATAGGAGCACACACCTAATCCATCCAATCAATCTGCATCCAATCAGAAAGGCCATTGCACTACAGTTGTTGCTAGATCTAAAGGAGATTGTACAATCAGATTGTAATATGTGCTGTGAGCTTTAGGGCCCATTCGCACCATAGCGTTGCATTAATCGCATGATACTGTGTTTATTTAGCGCATGCTATTGCACGATTGCACCTAGCATGCATTACTGTGTACTAGGTGTGCTGCATGCCATTCATTTGAATGGTACCCAAATGCACCTTCTGGCCATCATGCACTGCACTGCAATGTGTTATTCTGCAATACTGTGCATGTATTACTTTTTAAAACCACAACGCATAGTATTGTGGTACAGGGTACTGCGCTGCATCACAAGGCTGCTAGGAGGTGCATTGGGGTGCTATTCAAATAAATGGCAATGCACTTAGCTCAGTGTGAATGGGCTCTAGATGTGAGGGAAATTCCAAAAGTTCGAGTTGTCACCAGAACAGGAATAGAAGGCAACTCTTCCAATGGGGACAACTGCACCAATGACAGCTGTGTAAGAGAAGGATTTCCCTGACTTTGGAGAGATTTCATCTCACTTCTTGTTCTGTTTACAGGTTTGGATAAGAAGAGATATCTTGTCAATAAGATACACATGGCAACAAAAAATAAAGGGGGAAAAAATAGGGATTTAAACTGCTCCTTACTGTATTTAAAATGGAAAACGTTTTAGCTTTAGATACAGTGAGGGGAATTTATCAAAACTGGAACAGACAAAATCTGGAGCAGATTTGCACAGCAACCAATCAGCTTCTCTGTCTCATTTTCAAATCTTAGCTGAGCAAACTGAAGAGAGATGCTGATTGGTTGTCATAGGCAACTGATCCAGATTTAGCATCAGTAACTCCTGAATGGGATTGGTTATATAGTTACATAGTATTTGAGGTTGAATAATGCCACAGGTCCATCAAGTTCGACCTGTGTGTGTCTGTGTGTGTTTGTGCATGTGTGTGTGCCGAACAGCCGCCTCCTTGCTGATTGGCCGGGAGGCGGGTCACTACTCCTGATTGGCCGAGAAACTGGCTCGATGCTGATTGGCTGGGAAGCCGGTTTCCCAGCCAATCACAATCGAGCTGGTCAAACAACATGGAACCGGCTTCCCTGGCAATCAGGAAGCCGGGCAGCATGTCACTATAGGAAGCCGGCTCCATGTCAGCGGGAGCACCGGTACCGGAAAGCAAAATTTCAATACTTGTACTCGATACCGAAAAACCAGTATCGGTGCATCCTTATTGAAGGAATGAGCATGGAGCGGTGGCTACTTTACAAAACACCCAGGGACCATGGGGAACAAAGTAGCCCCCCTCCAGAAAGAAGGACAGCGTCAGCGCCAATTCAGAGATGATTGGAGGATCTACAGCCGAGTGATACACAAATAAGATACATTTTTGTTAATAGTTTGGGTACTTGAATGTATTTTTAAGATTTCACTCCTGAGTTTAATGTCACTATAAAGTACAATGAAACTCTAATTTGTTTTGCATATAACTACTGCTAGCAAGCCGTAGATACATGCAAAAACATTTAAAAAAATAAAAAAGTTACCAAAAAGGTAATTACTTACCTGTGTCTCTGACGCTCGCTGCCCCCTGAAGATCTGAAGCTTCTTGAGCGGCCGTGCAGTATGATGGGACAGGCACATGCGCAGTGGAGGTCTTCGGCAGGGAAAAGAGGAGAGACACAATGCAGGTGAATGCATGCAGCCTGGAATGTGCACATCGAGCAGACACCGTGGGACACCAGGAGTCTGCGCTGGATCAGTGACCAGCACTAGCGCTGGATGAATTGCTGAATACAAGTGGAAGGAAGAAGATGATCGGATGAAAAGGCACCATTTAAGGTAATTCCTCGAAGAAGCATGGGGGAATGAAGGCATTTGTGACTTTATTGTCAATTTAAGCCTGCCTTCATTTCCTGTCTAAATGACCTCTATCATTCATCAGTCACTTCTTCCCCTGATCCGTACTGGCATTGGCTTCCCTCTCACAGCTATTAGCTTCTGGCATCAATCATTTTCTTCCTGAGCTTTATATGAAAGAATACATCCCCAGCATCCCTTTAGATGCACCTGCAATCAGTCCACTGGTCAGCAGATTGGATAGCTAAAGTCTGCAGCACCCAGTGGCCAGAAGAAGTAACAGGCATGTCTAATGGGATCCCATGGATGAGCTCTTTCATATAATTCTTTTGATATAGATCCGAGGCAGAATGCTGTGACCTTTACAGGAGCCTGATGACCCCTGCCAGCAAAGAGCATCAGACAGATCCAGTGATGACATTAATGAGTCTCAATACTGGTGTTATTTTTTTTTAAACAATGTGATTGAAAAATGTTAATTTCATGTTGATCAGGGGGAGTGGGAACCATGGGAACATTACACTTGAGCTTTAAGATGACTTTTTCTCTGAAACGAAAATATTTGCCAGTGGTATTTGCATGTGTCATGTGTTATAAACAGTTTGTCTTTAAAGCCAGGGATCTGTGTGTGAGACAGTTCAGAGATATCAACATGGTTCCTCTGACATGTATGCTCAGTGTCTTCTATCTCTATATACAAGGTACAGAGTTATTTCATTGTCACCAGATGTCATTAATGTGGTCTGTACATCAATCTTATAATATTTGTATTGTAGCTAATGAAATTCTTTTCTGTCTTCATAGTCTCTTGTGGACTGAGTGTGCCGACTCAGACTCCGGAATCTATCTCAGTTCCTGCAGAAGAGACTGTGGTATTACATTGTATACCGAGTTCTGCTATTACTAACTCAGATGGTAGGAGCAACCTACAATGGTATCAGAAGAAAGCAGATCAGCCTCCAAAACTTCTTATCTATCATGCAATCAAACGTCAGTCTGGAGTCCCGGAGAGGTTCAGTGGCGGTAGATCGGGACCTCCGTACAGTGATTTCACTCTGACAATCAATGGGGCTCTGGCAGAAGATGAGGCACATTATTACTGTCACCAGGGTGATGAGTGGCCTCTCACACAGTGATATTTTTAGGAACTACAAAGAACCTCCCATGCAACAATGTAGTCAGGGCCGGATTTACTCTCTCGGCTGACTCAAGGCCAGGTTCCTCAATGCGCCCCCTATATGCAGGCTGCATACAAGTGATCTCAGAGATATCACTGAGATCACTTGTACAAAACAAGCAGCAGCTTCCCCCCTGTACATTACAAGCAGGGCTAAATGTAGAAAACAACTACCCGCCTGGTGCCCAGAACTGCATGTCCGAGGCGTCGGGAGATGGCATTTCCACACCCCTGCTGCCCCAAGGCTGGGTCTCGGTTGGCCTTGTGGGAAATCCGGCCCTGATCGTAGTGGCTCCTAATTTTATACAATTGTCTACAAGAGTGTTTCTTTACATTTTTATGGAGCCTGACAAAAGATAAGATTTCTGATTTCAGTTCTTAGAATGAATATTAGTGCTACATTTATACTCTAGGGACCTAAAAAATGAATTATTGAGATGCTAATAGAGAGATCCTGAAATATAGGATGAGCTAACATGGGTACAGACTGATGTGACGTGTCATTATTCAGTCCCTTCTAAAACTAGGCACGCGGAATACATAAAAAACGCACAATGCGCTTGTGGTTCTATTACTTGTTAATGGCACCCCTAAATTATGATGTCTGAGATATTTATGTGACTGTTGTTCCTGTGTAGTCGAGGACTGTTCACATTGCTGTACCAGGACTGCATTATTTTTGTGCGGACATACCACCTCCAGTTATGCCTATGTGCAAAATGCATATACTTATGTAACTTCAGAAATGGTGCCGAATGTTCTCTTGTAGTAATTGTAGTCTCTTGTAGTCTTGTTGTAATTGTAAATGTCTGTTTGTTTTATTCTTTTACAAATGCAAACCAATAAAAATTTATTTGATAATAATGGCACCCCAAACGCGGCCAGGAAAACACGCTTGTTCCCCACACTTTAAAATGCGCAGGGAAAAAAAACCACAGAACACATGTTGAGATTTTGTCACATGAGCGGCTTTTCCCACGTTTGACGCGCATGTGGTACCCATTGAAATCAATGGGGACAAGCATCAGACGTGGGAAAGAAACGCAGAGGGACATGCACAAATGCACACAACACTAATATGCATTCCCACTATGCCTAGGTGTGACATTAGGGTGTTTTGGAGATTGGTTCAGTGGTATCTTCAGTTGGTTTAAAAAGGTTGGCATGCTTATTTGATTTGATTGCTTATACTTGTTCTTTACCTTGCAGTTAAGCTTCTGATGTGCCTGGTGTCCAGAATGTATACTACTACGGTATTGTCCCCTACAAAAGTTTAAAAATGATTTCTGAAAAGTAATGATCCAGAGACTTGTGTGTAACTAAGACTTGCTTTATTCACTCCAACCCGAGGGAATGGACCTCCTGATGGAGAAGACTGGAGGTTCCCTGGCCATTTGGGAGATGCTCTGAAT